ACTGAACTGCGTAATGCAAGTGAGGTCTCACCAGCGCACGATATAGTAGGATAACCTCGCTAGTCTTGTAACTAACACTCCTTTGTATGAACCCAAGTACAGTGGTCCCTCGTTTAATGAACGGTTCAATTAAAAAAATTTCGGTTAACGAATTACCTCCCATAAGGATCTTCAATTCGGTTAACGAACAAAACTTCGATTAACGAAATCATTACGACAAACACATTTTGTTGTGAGCATCAGCTGATCGGCTAGTCTGCCAATTCAGTAATCTGTTCTATGTTTACATTTGTTTCCAGTGGAGTAAATATCAAGAAAATTGTGCTCTTTGATATTTGTGCATTTTTTTTATTAAAATTATTGGTCATTCTAAAATTTTGACATCCAAGCTCTGTCTACATAAAGTTTTTCAACTTAATTCATTTATTGAAACTCATTTACATGCATACACTGTCCAAAGGGCAAAGCTGTACTGTACATGTAATCAAAATAATGTACAAAATGATTACTAAAATTTTTGTCCAGTGCAAACTATCGCATGTTTACATTCAAATTAATCACTATCTTGTAAGAATTCCAGCAATGTTAATTATATTCTCCCCGGTCACTTCTGTGACATTTAAAAAAAAAAATCAATCTAAATGACATAAATAAACAAATAAATACTTCACTAGACCTTCGGCGCCAACTGTCTAACATGTCACCGTCACCCCTCCCTCCACCCCCCTCTCCTAGTAAGGGTTTGGTGGTAATACAGTAGGCTTTAAGTTTTTATCATATATAAAATATCACAGACTAAAGTTAGGAGAATATAATTTGCATTGCTGGAATTCTTGCAAGACGGTGAATAATTTGAATATAAACGTCATATATTTTGAACAAGAGATAAAAATTAATCACCTGTATCACATTAAAGTGGTGATTTAAGAGTAAGATTGTGTGTGTATATATATATATATATATATATATATATATATATATATATATATATATATATATATATATATATATATATATATATATATATATATATATATATATATATATATATATATATATATATATATATATATATATATATATATATATATATATATATATATATATATATATATATATATATATATATATATATATATATATATATATATATATATATATATATATATATATATATATATATATATATATATATACACACACACACCTAGACCCGACTTACGGCGGGTTGGGACCAATCCAGGTCATAAGTCCGACATAGATAAAAAAAAAACAATTTTTTTTTTTAATAAAAATCTACAATGAAATACAGTACAGTAAAAGTAATGGATACAGTGTGACTGAGCACTTAACCTTTAATGTAGTCAGCTGAATACATGGGGCCATAATTTCTAATTATACATGGAGACTACATTAACTGGAAACGTTTCGGTATAAAATCGTGTCTTTAATTTTTTTTTTTTTTTTATCTATATCTGAGGCGGTCGTAAGTCCGACAGTCGTAAGTCACGTGAGTAATGAAAGTCGAGGTCTGGGTGTATATATATATATATATATATATATATATATATATATATATATATATATATATATATATATATATATATATATATATATATATATATATATATATATATATATATATACACACACAGACAGACCGACTTACGACTGCTCGACTTATGACGTCGGGACTTAAGACCGCCTCAGATTTTTATTAAATTTTTTTTTTCAAATGACACGCATTTTCTATACCGAAACGTTTCCAGTTAATGTAGTCTCCATGTATAATTAGAAAATTATGGGGGCCCCATGTGCATTCAGCTGACTACATTAAAGGTGTAATGACAATAAATCTCACATGAAGAATATTTATATATATAGGTAGAATATTTAGTAGAGGAGTAAAAGAGAGGAAGATTTTGGTAGCGTGGCCGTGATAGTTATTTACACTTATCGTATCTTATACGTCAATACACATCTATTACGTACCAGGCGACTTCTCAAACACCGTTACAACTCTTTATTAATTACGAACATGACATGGACACATTAATACCTTCTATTGAAGTTCTAGGACATTATATTTACCGTTACTGGGACATCATATTACGTTACTAGACACTCTGATTCGGACACGAACATGAAATGAATACACTTCCCGTAAGTAACTCATCCCATGGAAAGCTCTGACAAACACTCACGTGACTAGGGAGGCCTAGCAGGTAGTCCTGGGTTTTCTCTATGGAGACTGCTTAGCTGGGCGCCGAGGAATCTCGGTCCTCTCTCTGACTCCTCTCGGCGGGCCTGGTGGTGTGGTAGCTGGCCCTTCCTCCTTACAAGACACTCTCTCTCTGTCTGTCTCTGGCTCTCTCTGACTCTCTGAGGGAGGACTAGGGCGTCCTATATATTGGGGAGCCGTCAGGTTAGCTGGCTAATTAGGGCGTGAAGGTCTCACAGACCTGGCCAATGTGAGGTCAGGTCTGGACTTTTCAGATGTAGGTTATTGTGTATTTTGGGAGAGAGTCGGCGGTGCCTTCTTACATGTTTGTTGTGGTGCGTGTCATGGGAGGAGCCTGGCTGATTTATAACCCTTGGTCAACCGTGAGAGTTACCCTACACTTGACCTCCCTAATGTCGGGTCAAGTTTGGCTTGTCTCTGAGATGCAAGCTGCGGTCTGACAACCCATCACTACACCTCCCTAGAGACCAAAGCTTTCATGCTCAGAGAACTGATGACACATTTAGTAGACAGTAACATCATGTGCAGTATCTAATATAGTCCCTGAGGCGATGCAACCTTACATTTACAAATTATACTAGAGATGTATGTTTTTCTACTGGCATAGTTTGATCTGACAAAGCTTACTATAAAGGTAAGTGCTCAGTCACATAACCATTCCTTATTATTTATTACTTTCACTGTACTGTATCCATTCCTCATTATTCATTACTTTTACTGTACTGTATTTCATTGTAGATTATTTATTTAAAAAAAAAAAATTATTTATGTCGGACTTAGACCTGGATTTGGGTCCCTAACTCGCATTAAATGAATGGTCTATTTATTATGTATGTATATATATATATATATATATATATATATATATATATATATATATATATATATATATATATATATATATATATATATATATATATATATATATATATATATATATATATATATATATATATATATATATATATATATATATATATATATATATATATATATATATATATATATATATATATATATATATATATATATATATATATATATATATATATATATATATATATATATATATATATATATATATATATATATATATATATATATATATATATATTTCATGTAGATCACCAATGAAAACGTGGATAAGATAAATCTTGATAAAATCACAGGAAAAGGGAAACAACGGAGCACCTTAGCTTCGTCTTTATTCAAGACATCTTCAGAGGCAACTGGATTACATGGACAGAGAGGCTTAAATATACAGGGTGACCTTAAAAACATGAGGTCAGGTCATAATGATGTCATCCACTAATCCCACACAACACACACGTGAAGGAGCTAAAGAGAAGGGAGGTGACGTGGCTAGTCGGTCAGGTAAAAAATAAGGACCCGCTAAATAACTATCATACATCTAGATCAAAGGTTTTCAAAGCATTTTTAACCTTGGGCCACTGACAAATAAATTTATGTAACATATTATCAGTTTTGAACTGACCATCACTAAGGTTTATTGGATTTTAATTCTTTAATCAAACTAGCTTCAACCAGAATCTTTCTGTGACACAAGATGATTTAAATACTTCTAAGCTTTTTCCCAAGCAATGGAATGATTATTATTCCTAACATGAACGAACAAGGCACTGCTTTCAGATGTTGTTCTGATATTGTACTTATGTTGTTTGATTCTGAGCTGCGGTGTTTTTCTGTCTGTCCTACATAATTATATTTGCTACATGGAATACAATAAACACTTCCATTTACATTCAAACTTGGGCTATTTCTTATTAACATATTGGTAATGGTTGAGTCATACTTGAAAACAACATTAATATTTAGTAGCTTGAGGGACCGAACTAACAGGACAAATTCATTACGATAGGGCAGAGTCAAAATATTCTTAAGTGTAGGAATTTGCCTTATATGTATGGATTGATCAAAACACAAGCAATCCATTACGTCCTCGTGAGTTCTGTGGGTTCTGTTACTTACAAATTATCCAAGTGGCTGGTAAAGATGCTATCCTTCTTTTAATTGCTAACTTTTCGAAATAATCATTTTCCATCATCAGAGCCTAAAAGTTTGAAAAGTTTAAAAATACAGGTGATATACAATAAAAACATAATATTATACAAAAATTTACCTTGATAAACTTAAAAATTTAAAAAGAGCAATCCAATTCAAAACCTGACAAAAATGATAGAGACCTACATACAAAGCTAAAATCAGTAAATAAAAGTATGAAATAAAATATACGGGGCGTGTACCTTGATGCGGGTTGATGGGACTTTGGTTCTGTAGATCACTGCCAAGGAGTTGATGGGCCTGGTTACTTAACCTGCTGGAGAGGTTGTGGAATGGTTCTGTAGATCTTTAGAGATGATGGGACTGGTTCTGTTAAATTTCACTGCAGAGGTTGGTGGGACTGGTTCTGCTGGAGGTTGATGGGACTGGTTCTGTGGGCCTGCAGAGGTTGGCAGGGGCTGGTTCTTTTGGATGCTGCAGAGATTGATGAGACTGGTTCTGTAGATGCTGCAGAGGTTGATGGAACTGGTTCTGCTAGATGCTGCATGAGTTGATGGGAATGGTTTTGTAGTTGCTCCAGAGGTTGATGGGACTGGGTTTATATAAATGCTAAAAATTTGATGGGACTGGTCTACATAGATGCTGCAGAGTTGATGGGACTGGTTCACATAGATTATGCAGAGGTTGACAAGGAATAGTTCTGTAGATGTTTAAGTTGATGGGACTGGTTCTGTAGATGCTGCAGACGGTTGATGGGAGTGGTTCTGTAGATGTTGCAGAGGTTGAAAGGACTGGTTCTGTAGATGCTGCAGAGTTTGATGGGAGTGGTTCTGTAGATTCTGCAGAGGTTGACGGGAATGGTTCTGTAGATACTGCAGAGGTTGATGGAACTTGTTCTGCACATGCTGCAGAGGTTGATGGGACTGGTTCTGTAGGTGCTGCAGACGTTGATGCGACTGGTTCTATGGATGCTACAGAAATTGATGGGACTGGTTCTGTAGATGCTGCAGAGGTTGATGGGACTGGGTCTGTAGATGCTGAAGAGGTTGATGGGACTGGTCCTGTAGATGCTGCAGAGGTTGGTGGGATTGGTTCAGTAGGTGCTGCAGAGGTTGATGGTACTGGTTCTATGGATGCTGCAGAGGTTGATGGGACTGGTTCTGTAGGTGCTGCAGACGTTCATGCGACTGGTTCTATGGTTGCTACAGAAGTTGATGGGAGTGGTTCTGTAGATGCTGAAGAGGTTGATGGGACTGGTCCTGTAGATGCTGCAGAGGTTGGTAGGACTGGTTCTGTAGATGCTGCAGAGTTTGATGGGAGTGGTTCTGTAGATTCTGCAGAGGTTGACGGGAATGGTTCTGTAGATGCTGCAGAGGTTTATGGAACTTGTTCTGTAGATGCTGCAGAGGTTGATGGAACTGGTTCTGTCGATGCTGCAGAGGTTGATGGGACTGGTTCTGTAGATGCTGCAGAGGTTGATGGGCCTGGTTCTGTATATGCTGCAGAGGTTGACGGGAATGGTTCTGTAGATGTTTAAGTTGATGGGACTGGTTTTGTAGATGCTGCAGAGGTTGTTGGGACTGGTTCTGTAGATGTTGCAGAGGTTGATGGTACTGGTTCTGTAGATGCTGCAGAGATTGACGGGAATGGTTCTGCAGATGCTGCAGAGATTGATGGGACTGGTTCTGTAGATGCTACAGAGGTTGATGGAACTGGTTCTACAGATGCTGCAGAGGTTGATGGGAATGGTTTGTAGTTGCTCCAGAGCTTGATGGGACTGGTTCTGTAGATGCTGCAAGGTTGATGGGACTGGTTCTGTTGATGCTGCAGAGATTGATGGGACTGGTTCTGTTGATGCTGCAGAGATTGATGGGACTGGTTCTGTATTTGCTGCAGAGGTTGATGGGACTAGTTCTGTAGAGTCTGCTGAGGTTGATGGAACTGGTTCTGTAGGTGCTTCAGAGGTTGATAGGACTGGTTCTGTTGATGCTGCAGAGGTTGATGGGACTGGTTCTGTAGGTGCTTCAGAGGTTGATAGGACTGGTTCTGTTGATGCTGCTGAGGTTGATGGGACTGGTTCTGTAGGTGCTTCAGAGGTTGATAGGACTGGTTCTGTTGATGCTGCAGAGGTTGATGGGACTGGTTCTGTAGGTGCTTCAGAGGTTGATGGGACTGGTTCTGTTGATGCTGCTGAGGTTGATGGGACTGGTTCTGTAGGTGCTTCAGAGGTTGATAGGACTGGTTCTGTTGATGCTGCAGAGGTTGATGGGACTGGTTCTGTTGATGCTGCAGAGGTTGATATGACTGGTTCTTTTGATGCTGCAGAGGTTGATGGGACTGGTTCTGTAGATGCTGCTGAGGTTGATGGAACTGGTTCTGTTGATGCTGCAGCGGTTGATGAGACTTGTTCTGTTGATGCTGCTGAGGTTGATGGGACTGGTTCTGTAGGTGCTTCAGAGGTTGATGGGACTGGTTCTGTTGATGCTGCAGAGGTTGATGGGACTGGTTCTGTAGATGCTGCTGAGGTTGATGGGACTGGTTCTGTTGATGCTGCAGAGGTTGATGGGACTGGTTTTGTAGATGCTGCAGAGGTTGATGGGACTGGTTCTGTAGATGCTGCTGAGGTTGATGGGACTGGTTCTGTAGATGCTGCAGAGGTTGATGGGACTGGTTCTGTTGATAATGCAGAGGTTGATGGGACTGGTTCTGT